AAAAAATACTTCGGTAGATAAAAACTAAAATGTAATTACATAAATCGAAAATGTAAACATATTAATGTCAGAGCTAGGCTCGTAACCAAAAAAAAGGGGGTGGGCTGGAGCAATGGAACTTTACTGCAAAATTCGACTTTATTGAAGCTGAAATGAGTCTCTATCAGCTATTGCAACCCATGCAAACGAGCCTGGTTATAGCTCAAGTTGAATTTACGTGATAATACATCATACATATTGTAATGAGAAGGAAATATCTACTTTATAGTATAAATCCTGAGAACTTCAGAACTGTACCAACACAATAAAAATATATCACTAGGATGTAGTTATTTCCCTTGATTAATAAAGTTGAAAAATATCCAAGCAATTTCTACTCAGGATACTCAATCTCAGTATGAAATTTGTAAATTACCAGCTGCAGGTTATGGTACCAAAGTATTTACAGAATAAAATCGATATAACTGAAGTTACATGTTCATTGTTTACTAATAGCACATCAAAACCTATACAAACATATAATCTCGAATTAGAATACGATGAGTGAGTTACAAACGATCTGTCCATTATTATAATACATACCTAGGTACTAACGATTCGAAGAGCAAAACAAATTCAAATTCAAATCAACCTGGCAAAACATTGGTAGCAGCTAATGAACTGTTCATATGCGGAAGTATTTCATAAAAAGTAAAGTATATGGAAGAGTAAGCATACCCTACATGGCGCCACCCAGCAATTGCTGTTCAACAAATACGACATACAGAATTGTAAAAAGAAGAAAAAACACGACTTGACTGACCGATTCAAATATATCAAGGGAGGTAACTGTTGAAAATATTATTACGAAATTTTAACAGTTCAGGGGAGGTAACTGATGGAAATATTACCGTCCAATTTCAACAGTTCAAGGGAGGTAACTGATAACAATAATAATGTTATTATATACATCTATGATTATGACAAGATAAATGTTACAAACACCCGATACAATGGGGAATATGATATTTTTAGGGGTATTAACCCACCAGAATAGCACACGACAACAGATTGCTGTTGTGGCAATGTCCACCGGTGAGAAAAATCTTGATGGTACTTTTCTAGATATAGAACATTGATCCGTTTCGGAACACATTTCTTTATTTATGATTAAATAATATAAAATTTACGTTGTGAGTGGTTTATTAATATTTTATAGTCATTTATTGCTCTTGTATGACGGAATACCGTTTGTAGACATACGCTTCAAAGAGATAGACAAACTACAATGAATCCAAGAACATTAAATACCATAATATATTGTTCTTTCAAAGGTTACATTATCATGGAATGCCTTTATAGACCTTCTGATCTCAATATTACTTTGATGATGTCAAAGTGACCAGCTGATAAAACTTATAAGACAAAGATGTTCAATATCTCACGTGATACCAACAAAACAGACTTTGAAAGAAGAGCCTTCAAATTACTTCCAGTAAACGTCACAGAATCACATATTCCCGATATTTTCCACAAAAAATGATGATTTGCAAAAGTGATTTGAATACTCAATTTGAGATTATATGCTTTGACCAACTAAAATTGCGATCTAAGAGTGGATAAAAGTGATTGATTGAAGAAAAATGGAATATAGTACAAGACATCAACACAAACATAAAATCAAAGGTGATCGAACCATCTTACCTACCACATTGCACTTAGTTATATTTATTTATAAAACATGAAATAACTACCTAGGTTATCCTGACATTGTTTTAATAACTGGAACCATTTCAAAAACTTCTAAAACATCTTATCTATTTCAACATGTTACAAACCGTATAGTTGTAATTTACACAGGTTTTATTATCATTTATTATCAATTTGAAAAATTACGACACATTTTAATATATGTATACAACTGTTGTGAAAACATTGCTAGAGTATGGAGATCCGATTTGGCAGCAATCCCAAATATTAAAAGCCAGTGAAAATCTATCTTCAGACCGATTTGCTATATTTTATTGTTTATCTTAAAAATAATTTATACTCCCTCTACAGGTCGTCTAGGCTTCAATGACGCAGATTGATGAGGTTGACATGAAATAAACGTCTGATCGCCTGGTAATGTGCATGTACTATAAACCAAAGGCAAAGTCAATGTTGCTGTTTTGCAAAAAATTGAAATTCACAGAAGATTGAAAAAATTCATTTCATTTTCTTTTCTTTATGTGTTTATTATATTCAAAATTTAGATTTGAAAGTCTGAAAGTATATTTTCATTTACTATTTGAGGTTGTCTAACAACAGAGCTCCTTTGAGTCCAGGCGTTTTTAACTGAATTTCTCTTAATAATATAACATGTTTATGCAATGTATAACAACTTTAATTTCGAAAGGAATTTTTACCTTTCTCGGGAAAAACCTGTTTTGTCTTAATTATCGGTAGAATTTCCGACCACAACAGTCTGCTTGGTACTTATAGTATTTAATTTTAAAGGATTATGCGTAATGGAATTAGTGAAATAACTCGTAACATGTAACTGCAATGTATTTTTTGTAAAATTAACTATTGTATATGCGATGTTGTATCAACGGATCTTCAAACAAGTTAAAATCTTCAGTCAAAGGAAATATCAAATATATACCACCACTGAGGAATGTAATATATCCTTTAGTTCAGGAACTACTGACGTAATAATATATAGAGTATGTTTATCTTTCGACCGATGTATTATTAAGATAGGTAAAGGCCAAAGGGATATTACATTGGTTTAATAGATATTCCTAAGCGCCAGCCAGCTGCAGCTACGTATCTATCTTCGAGATAGTACATAAGCTACCAATTGTTAGTCCGTGCACACAAATATGAAAGATGAAAGTGGAAGATCAGTCTAGATGCACGTCTGATAGGAGAATGGGTGCCAAGAATTAAATGCCATTTCATTGGCAAAATAGATCTGACGGGGGCCTTTCACGTTCATCTGCGTTTACCAAAGTCATAGAATGACAATATCCATTATAGGCTGGCCATAAACTGGTAGAGTTCGGTTGGTTGGCAATTGGTAAATCTAACACACCTACAGTAACTGTAGTAAGGTTTGAACATGTGGTACTAAGAGATTATTGTAAATACCATCGACAGAACATAATATTGTACAACTATTATTAGTCTGAAATCATGCTTAAACACTTACAATATACCTGTTTCAATCATACTATATGTGCAATTGCTATGATACATTTAATAGAACACTAATAATAAAGCGACAAGGTTCTGCCATATTACAAACTTCATATTTATTCCTAAGATCAACCACTATTACTGTAGTCCTAAACTCTGTCCAATACAACCACTAATATGGTTTGTGTCTGATTATGACATTGAACAACTAGTCCGAAACCCTACTCGACACAACCTCATAGTATTTGTGCAACACTTCCAATTTCAACTGTTCAAATACAAAATAATTTATCACCTCTTCAAATCAAATACTTGGTGTACAGACCATGTTATCTTTGCAGAGAAAACTTTTGTCAGGTTAGTCAAACTATTTTGTTGTGTAGGTGAATTGAATGTATTAAACAATAATATGTACTCGAAAATCTGGTTTATCAAGAGTTACTTTATATCTATGACGTATATTACTTCCAAAAAACAGTGAAGGTTGAGTAATATTGTCCATTCTTTACTATATCTATATAAGAACTATAAAGCTGATGTGATTTAAACCCATCACAAAATATTACAATTTGAAGGATGGAGCATCATACTACTAGATAGTTATGAGGTAAGTCAGTACGCTCAAAACTGAACCGAACGTCAATTTCTTTAAAAACCTAAGTACTAGGATTAAGATAATGTCATAAAACGGCGTCTACAACGAAGCCATTAATGACGGAAACTGAAGAGACGAAGGTTGATTCCGAAACCAATTTACAGGTTAATTACAATCGTACATGCGTTTAGGCATTAATCAATTCGCAGAATGAATGCACCTGTTGAAAACGTCTGTCAGTTATTGACTTCCGGTTTAAGTTTATATCAAATAAATCATTATGATTGCTATTGTACCCATTTCTGAAACTCCGTTTTCCTGTTCCAAACGTTTTCATTTTATCCGATATTTAACGAACTACCGCTTTAAGAATAAAAATGTTTCATATAAATTACGATATGGTAATCATTATTTGCCGTTTACTAAGAAAATATTTGTAGATGAAGTAGATAAGTCAAAAGGTTTAGAAATGTTAGACAGGATGAATTTCATTATTTACTGGTATACTTTTTCTTCACAAAACTAGATGTAGGCCAATCTTTTTTTCATAAGAGCTTATAAACAAGAATAGATTCACATTTATAGTTATCATCATTATCCCAGTAACTACACGAATATATTTGCTTGGTTTGTGATTCGGATTAACAATTATTCTATGTAAAATGCTAAAATAAACACAATTCCCTCGATACCGTTTCCTCCTACTTCCATAGTTTTTGTAAGAATCATTTCAACGAATCACCTTGACCTACACAACCAATCTGGAAGGTCAAGCAATGAAATATAACCAGGATGATATCTGGCACGGATTTACACCTTTCTGGTTTTTATTATATAGCCACTTAATAACGAGCCAGCTTTTATGCTGTATTAATGATATAGGCATTATAACTATAATAAATTTTACTTTTTGCCTCTAAGAAGTTTCAAATAAACCCTATACTTCCCTCTTCTCAGCTCAATATAAAGTGTTAATTAAATCCAGATAGCCAGATTACTTTAACAGCAGTTAATTAACAGTTAAGAAAATGGCTTAAATTGCAATGAGAGTAGCCTATTGAAATTACTGAAATAACGGAAGAAGAAACAATGTGTGTGACTTACCTTCGAAAAACAGGAGAGTTGTTAGGAAAGGTGGAAAAGAGGCTGAAACTTGGCACTAACCTCTAGAACGTCTGTTGACGTTGTTACTTTTTCTGTCACTCATTATCCTTCAACTCATCTCTATAAAAGGTAAAGCCACAACATAATGACACTTACCCGTTGCACGACGAGGGGCTGTTTCAGATCCTTGCCACCCTGAAGTCGGAATCCCCAGGGTGTGGCGAACGAATCGCGATACAATCGCACCTGAAGCTTTGTTCCAGTCATTTTGTTTTACGCCATAATGCAGACGACACACGTTAGCAGGGAAACAGATCTAGCTTGGATGAAAACGAGGCACACGAGCGCCAGTTCGGTAAGAAGGAATGCCACCTATGCTATTCGGTTTGAGGGAAAGTTAGAGAGGTAAAGTACACGTACAACCAGACTGTAAGCCTAGCATCTATTTATATCTATAGTGACGTGAACACATGGCATTCTCAAATATCTACAAGAACACCATTCTACCAGTAAACCAATCTCACGGCAGCTTGCCCAATTTAGAATACCTGTTATATATTAGTTAAATATTGTTGAAGAGGACTGCTGGTAGTTTCAACATTAATTTATTTTTGTCAGTTTATTTTGACAGTCGTATTGTAGATCATATTATACAGGTTTCCATTTGTAAAACAAACGGTAGCTAGATGTGTCTTTTCTATTTACCTTAATATGCATTTATTCTATCGAGTACATGTAACTTTTCAGGTAGATGACGTATCTGTCTAAATAGAAACGACAAGGCCATGTCCTGACATTATTTTGTCCCGACCAATAACAAGATCTGCTATGAGGCTAATTGCATCACAGCCATCGTTGATAATGACTGCGACCTTTGATATTCGCATTGGCATATTAACTATGTTTTGAGACTAAATGACAAAAAATGCCGAGATATTCATTCCTACGACCTTAAATCATCATGCTTGCCGATACAGTGACCGTTATTTAATACCCGGACAGTATTCTTAGTTCAGCATGTTTAACCTATTCAAGAAGCAAACCTGCAATTTAAAAGGCTTTGACCAGTAGAACAGGTAACTGCAATTGATCGATCATTTAAATAGAAGTGACAAAGCATTATAACGTACTTATTATGTAAATAAATGATGACACAGCATTTGTGCTTTTTCTGGCTCAAGTTTTACCTCTAACTTTTCTACGACCACTTTGATTAATGAAGACGTGCAACGTTATTCAAAATGTTTTGAGAAATTATTTGTTAGCACAGTGGTAATTAGCCTATTCTTTTTTCGATTTTCGGGAGACGATTGTTCCTTATCTTCATTGAAGTAGTACAAAATACCTTAAAAGAGGAATATAGAATATTATACATAATTATGAAGATATTTCTGTTATGATGGGAATAACAGAGTTTAACGAAGGATGGTAGCAACGTCCACGTGTATAAAGGGAGGCAATCATCTTGAAGTGAACTGTCTACATTTATAACACACAACTTTTTTATCAGCGCGTATTGACCGAACCTTTATAAATAGGTCCAGGGAATCAATGAACCCCACCGAACAAGTTGGTCTTGCTTCCATAATGACCAGTACTTTGTATTTTTGTATTTTCGCAATTTCGGAAATTGATAAAGTTTGCGACACGAAAACAATACAGGATTTACAATGTCTTAGATCAGAAAAATAAAAGTGTTCTTTGGAGAAAAAATAATAAGGTTCATTCTCCCTATTGAATAATAAATAGAAGTGCAATCATGCCCTTATTTCTTTGCTTGGTATTGGCTAGTGTTTCTTGTCTCATCGATTAATGGAATGGCTTTTAAAAGTCCTTTGATTTGACCCTTGCTAGGTAAGAGATTGGAGTTTTAACGTCAACTTTGCCTGTAATTACTGAGCAATGAAACAGTTATTGAATGCAGCCTTTTCTGAAACGCAGATTAAGGTATTATATCTGCTGTTGATAACTATAGAACCTACAATTTTCATTTTATTTTGATTTGTGTATTGTTTTGGATCGATAAAATATGGAATTAAACAACTTTTGAATTATTGACCATAATTTAGAAAATGTTCCATTTTACTGAAAACATTAAATCCATAACAAAAATCCCTCCCAAAAAGTAACATGATGTATTATATTGTGAAATGATTAAAAGTAGCTAGATCTATAAGGGTGTATGGTTACCTGGTCTGGTAAGTCATTTTTCTTGGCAGTGGCGGAACCAAACAGGGGGCGGGGCGTGTGAGGGGGGCAGAGGGGGCAGCCCCGAAGGCATGTTTTTCGGGCAAAAACCTCATAACTAGGTTAGAAATTCAGGAAACTTCTGGTTTCACTGGATGAAAGTATAACCTTCTCCCTTGGTGGATCAATAGAACCCCGATCTTCTTTATTTGAGGTCATTGGAATAGAGTGTTATCTATCCCTTCTGTGACCCATTTCATCAACTACATATCATTTTATACTATATACATGCTAAATGTCATTACTGAAATATAGAATCAACACTATGTCTAAAATATATATTATATAATGCACGGTATTTGGTTTATATTATAAATGATAGTGTGGGAAAAATGCAACAGACCTTAACAATTAAATTGTTTATAGAATTATAAATAAATCATACATATTAATCTAATCAGCCATCCATTTACTTACAAGTGTATAGTGATAAATCTGTAGTAATTCCTTTCCCATCGTTATTCATAGTGATAAGTGATTGAAGATGCATTTTGCGCCTCCTACGAGTTTTGGGGATTTGATTTGATTTGAATCAGTGATCGAATGTGAAGGAGATATTATAAGTTACGTGACTTTAAACTTTAGAAACAGGTTCGTAAAATAGTTTATATAATATGAAGTGAAGCTTTAATTTTACTGTACGACACCCTATACAATATACAGTGGTAGATATTAGGAAAATAATTAAATGCAAAATAAGTTTTCTTCCAGGTTAAAGGTGCGCCATAACGTAAATTCTAGACTAATATAATATTGCCTTCTGACTGACTGTAATACCTACATCTACCTACTTTAACTCATCTACCCCCACGCACGCTATAATACCGGTATGTAAAGTTTTGGCACAAGGTGAGAAGTTACTATGGTAACCAGAAGCTCTAAATTTAGACAGAAGATCATCTTTTCCCAACCCTAAAGTGATTCGTCTGCCATCTTTTATTTGTAGGGGACGGAAATTACACAGGGGCACCGTTTGACCATGGAGACCCTTTGGCTGCAACGGTCATCCCACGACATACCCTGGGGATTTCGACTTCAAGGGGGTCGGGAATATGGAACTCTTCTACAAGTTCAAAGGGTAAGAAAGTTTTGATATTTTCTATGTTGTATGTAATAGAGGTAGAAAGAGATGCTAAACATGTCTACTATCGTATCAAGTATCACTTCTCTTTCTATTTTTAATGTCCGCTTCTTGAGAAATATTATCAACTTTACCTTCGATATTTTCGTTATTCGAGAAAAATATTTTGTATTTATCAAACAATTGGCTCCACTGTGTCTATTTTGTATCAAATCATTTGTAAAGTTTATTGCATACCTTGGGCTAATTACCTGTGTCTACCTTGCAACTTTTTCTCATTAGTTACAACAGGTATAGCTGCCACGAACATATTTCTTCAAATTATATTCAATTAGTTTGTTGATATAATTACAAATAATGAAAATTAGGCAGTTATTAATAGCATATAATTGATTTTGAATCATAAAGGGTGTCGCCCACATTGATGGAATGATAAAAAAAAATATTCAGCTGATTTTTCGATTTCTGTTTGAATTTCAAATCCTATAAAAGTATAGAAGATTAAGCTGTCTCGATGTCTCTTTTTATTCTATTATTCAATAATTTTTACAATCTTTAATTCAATTTAATTGGACTTAGTTGTATCAAACTGCAACAGCTCAACCTTATTGAAATCAACTAAACATTGAGAGCTTCTACTGAAAAGGGAGTCAATTCCAAACTCAAATTAATAGTGTTCTTTCTGAGTTTTCCATCTTGCATTTTCGTTTGAAAGTTTGTAATTATTACCATAAAGCTCTAATTAGGTTTTATAATGTGAAATATTGAAAGTTAAATCTAGTTGATTGATACTGAACAGGTAACATAATGAGATGGTAGACAGGTAAATTAACCACGTGATAGTAATCAGTTGAAATTAAATTAGACATAGTATTATCATAGATGATAAATCTCATCTAAATCTTGTATTTATTATACAGGTTAAACTAACCTCGTCGTTCATTTTATACATTTCTCTACATCTATTTTCCTAGTATACTTTCAAGGTCAAAACAGCAAATTTAATGCTATTTATGTCTTTATTGGAATACATTACAGTTTTAAGACATTCTGTGTGTTGATTTTGAGATGACTGCAATGGCCACCTCAGCTCCTAAGGATTGATTTATTGTAATACTTCTAAATGTCGCATTTGATACATCCATTGATATTGTGTTAGGTACGAGTAGTCCTATATAAACTGTTTTATCTTATTGATCCTTCTGTGACTGTATAGTTGATTTCCGACAAAGTTTCAGACCGTTATATGTCCATTCTTATATTATGGACTTGCAGGGATTCACCCACTTTGATATGTATCCACATGCATTTTCACTTGCGTCGAGCTTTGTACTTGGTTAATGAGTATTTTTTATGAACCATTGTTAATTATGACAGCAGGAGAAAGTGTTTCTGAATCTGGTTGTTTCGTTACATTATTATACACAGTCTCTATAACCTATTTTACTACCAGAATCAAAGACGCTATCTACACAAAGACAGAAGCTCACTGTACTCTACCTCATTTTGTAGCGATTCCAGAATCAGGGATTAATATTAATATCATTCATATTCATACATCTGTCAGTCATTTTGCACTAACCCAATACTAACCATATCGTAAAAAGTAAATCATATTTGAAACGTATCTTCTCACCGCCATCTAAAAATACCCCCTGCATCTCTTTACAGCTTTAACTCTTATCTTCAACTTTCCTTCAAGAATTTCAGTTTTCGGTATGGCCGATTAAAGTAGCTGATAAGTTGAACATATGTGGCTTCGATTTCAACATAAATATATCAATGAAGCCTGCACTGTTTAATATACAGTAAAGATGATTTGTGTTTAGAATTGAAGCATACAATACAAGATTTGTGTTTAATTACACGGATATTGGAATGTGAGGTTTTGGAGAGACACTGACTAGAAAGGACGTTTGCTGATGTGGTCGTTTCTTAATAGTATGGCTTGTCCTATGTTGTGATATGATACTGACTGACATGGTCATGACTTTCCCATGTTGTCTGACAATCCCAACTTTCTATAATAACTGAAAATCTAGATTCTCAAAGTTGGTTTCCATGTTGATTGAGTTATCTAACTTGATGATGATTGTTTACAATCTAGGCTTTTCATGTACTATCTAGAGTTTCTATGTTGGCTGACAATCTAGATTTTATATTACAACGTAATATCTAGAGTTTCTATGTTGGCTGACAATCTAGATTTTATATTACAACGTACTGTCTAGAGTTTCTATGTTGGCTGACAATCTAGATTTTATATTACACCGAACTATCTAGAATTTCTGTGTTGGCTGACAATCTAGATATTATATTACAACGTACCATCTAGAATTTCTGTGTTGGCTGACAATCTAGATATTATATTGAAACGTACTATCTAGAATTTCTATGTCGGCTGACAATCTGGACAATTATACACTTTCGATGTTCACACTTCACAGTAATCATGATTTTATTCTGCCGGACAAACTAGACTATCAATTTCAATAACGAGTTGAACCCATTTATTATAAATACATGAAAAGTATCCGACACGTGTTATTCCGCATTGTTGTAGCTTTAGTCAAGTTGCCTGGAGAAATAATTTCAAAAGTTGTGCAATATTGTGATATTTCTTCTTAGAATTTGAAGGAATTCTACTTCAACATACAGTAGATATTTCTCTAATTATGTTACAAAATACAATTGTTACTATTAATAGACCACAGTACATAGTACATTATCTTGTCAAAATAATGGAAAATTTATTACAAGTGTAATTAAAAACACTACAGATACTTCTATATCACTAGTTGATAAATCAACTTCTGTTGCTGACTACCTTGAAGGGTGGGAAGTAGATTTAGAAATCGCAGAACGTAGACATTTCTTTAATTTATGATGAATAACAAATACCGTTAATAATCTTGGGAACGATATTGTGCATAATACACTGTTATTATTAAAACTCTACTTATAAAAATGGTAACGTTTATTTCATAGTTTGATCAAAATCGTTACTGCAAAATTGTATCAAAAATGTCAGAATTCATTAATATTATTGTGATAATAAATTAAGGAATGGCTGGAGTAAACAAATATTCTAAATACACTGGTATTGAGTCATAATCACGTGTTATTAATTCTGTTAGAGATGGAACACATGCTGGATAAAATGTCAGGTGAATATCGGGGTATTCACAGAATAATACCAGATGGTTAGATAGGTAGTAATTAAGGTATAGCTCATTAGGCATCTTACATTAGGCCGAATGTAATAACTTATTCCGATATGACAACCTAAGGCCACCTGAAGCCCAATGGCATGTTTTCGTCTTGGCTTATGGTGGAAATATCTTCTGAACAGAATATATTATGGTCCAAGGTCGTCCAGTCGGTAAAAGAGTCAAATGGCTTACAGCATCGGCACAAGTGTCTCTACATATCTACATGTATTTGAAAAAGGACATTGTAACATACATATCTAGATAATATGTAGAGACTGATACAGGTGTAATCATTAGTCCTCTACTACATTTGAACTTGTGGTAGTGGGAATCCGTCCACCATTAAACGCTCTCGTTATTGCATTTGTTCATGTTCGCATAGTCTATTCGATTGCGGCAATTCCCACAAACAGACCAATGATGAGATTATATTAATTAAATTTACTAGTAACTGAATTAAACAATATCAGGTTGAAATATTCATAAAGCTTTTTAGAGGGATTGGAACCAGCAGATGATAAAGGTCGGACAACTCGGTTCGCTGATACAGGGTCACTGCTGATGCAGGGTCACAGTAGTATAGAAGTTCATGAATTATCAGCTGGATCGAGTTAATGCCAAAGATGTAACTATATTTGTATCGGTAAATAACATTTCGTCGGACTGAAAAATCTCTAAAAACCATATTGTTATCACCATACCCCGGTGACGGTGGTCTATTATTCTGCGTATGACATGGAAATATAATTTGATAGTTTCAACATTAAGTGGAACACCAGGGGAAGTTGACCTTTACATGTTAGGTACTATGATATGATAATATTACTGGTATGTGACCTACTTTTAGACTGGAAGCTGTGGTGATTGCTTACAGATTAATAACACTGTTTCTGAATACATATTTACGTAATTATATCAGGGAAAGGAAGTATCATGTCAGTGGGACTTGTAATTTATCATAATCACGTCCAACGCACGTTCTTAAAGGAGCAAGACCCTGAGTCTCATATCGGTGCATCTGGTAGCTGCAATTATCTAAATATTAACGAAAAAAAATATTGAGTAAAAAATAATCGCTTGCCATTGATTGAGCAGTCATAATTTCTCATATTCTGTTTAAGACAGGAAGCTTCGAATTACATGTTAGATTACAGATTCCTTTTGCTACGGAGCGTTGGTGATTTAGGGTATATAGAAGGTCATTTTACCCGGTAGTTTAACGTTTAACTTTGTTGATATACAGTCAGTGCATAAAGTTCATTTTCGTTACCTCCTACTGATTGGAATTTATTAATTAGCCACAAATAGAAAATGTTTTTCAGACTAATTTGAATATTAGGTCTAGCTTTTCTACGAACCATTAATGTTACCAAACCAGATTCTAAAAGAAATGATCCCATATATATGAAAGTGGTAAATCTTATAAAAATAAACACGCATCATTGTTCTTTTTGAGGACTGTTATCACTGTTGCATTATTATCAAAATCCAGAACTGATCTTAACAAGTTGAAATAGATTGATGACGAAAAAAGACAATCCAAATATGAACCAATTTTTACAAAATAATAAATACATAAAACATATAACAGTTTTTTTACGGATCTTTTGTTTCAATCTGACTAATTTCGTTTATTTTAAATATATTTTGGCAAGTGCTGTGATTCTATTTTGTTTTATCCTAAAGCTCAAAATAGAAAGTTAAATATAAAAAATATACAGATTTTTAATTTGATTATGTTAACTGCGTATAAACCTTCTGTGGACATTTGTGGTTGGTAACATTATCTTACAATTTCGCTCTTGGTTGGTATATGATAATTTTAAAGGATTTGGTGTCGGATAACTATATCTAAAACTACACTGAACTAGTCTCAAAATATCTTTTTGGCTTTTGGTATTGAAAACATAAAACTGAGATAAGATACAGAAGATACTTGGAAAAATTAACTTATGTGGGTTAGCTATGGTATTATTTGAGAATGGCAGTAAAGCAATAAAGTGAACATGATTCAACTGATGTGGTCTTTGTTGGTAGTAGACCATTTCCGGTTTATATATACTTGGAGTAAAACTTTATAAAGATACAAAAACGTAACCACAATACTTGATTTATTGTTACAGTAAAGTTCAATACTGATATTTAGATAGTTATATAGATTCTAGTTACACATACAGCTGGCCACATATCTTCTATACACAACAATTCCTTTCAATACCTCTTTATATCAAATATAACCAGGTGGCAGAGTTACACGCCCTTACTACCAGACCATACCCCCTAGACAGTATATTGTAATCATTTTCAAACCAGATTTTAACCTACACTGAAGTGCATTGTAATCTGACGTATAACCTCATTCGTTTATATATCTGGTTTTATCGCAGAGATCATAATGTGTTTCTAAGAGTAATCGTTGTTCAATAACTGGTGAAGCTTTAAATTGTGCCCTGTGGAATTTGTATGAAAATCATGGATGATTTATCCGATGCAGAAGAAAAATCTCACATTCGTGTGGAACATTTTAACCATGAGAAACAGGAATTTGAAGAAGTAAGTGTTTATTAGTCGTGTAATAGTCAAGTGGTATACAATTATTGTTAACGCATCAAGGTCATTCATTTTTAGCATCACGAACAACGTCGATGCAATCTAGATATGGCTTGTATTCGTATAGTCTATTGGGGAATCTTTTGCAATAGCAGAGGCGGATTAACCTAAGCAAACTAGGCAGCTGCCTTTCGGCCCATGACAAATTTTGTAACAGTAAAAATTATCAAACAGTTAATAAATTTCCACAGGTCCATCGAAAATTGTGATGTGTGAGAATCGACTAAATTGTTTGAGCCTAATGATGATGAATGCCGATATCGTGCATACGATTGATGCTGATGAGCTGATTGATCTGTTCCTGAAAAAGAAAGATCGCAAATTTCCTGCCATAAAATTGTAATCACACCACGCCCCCTCCCTAAAATGAGAAATTAGGCCCTCTACCGTTCGTTTGCCTACGGCCCAACAAGTTCAAAATCCTCCACTGAGCCTTAACATTGACGAATATATAGTGGCATAATTGTTTTGAGTAAAAAATATTTCTGTAACATTTTCAAATTCAGCCAAATCTGTGTCAATTGAACAGATAGATCCTTGCTCTGATTTGCATTTTTTATGAAGGGATATTGTTACATATGATTTTTGTAATATTTTTCGTTACGTTGTCATTGACGATCCGAAATTTTACTGAGGTTGGGGTTGATTTTCAATCTAAAATTTCTCACAAAAGTATGGGAACTTGACTTAAAAAACACAATGCGTGCTTCATTGTAACATTTCATTATTCAAGATATTTAACAAACCTCATGACAAATGTGCAGAACAGGTTTATAATGTTAAGGATTTTTTTATTCAAATTGCATTGTTTTTTAAGCCTGTAAAAATAAATAGGTCACAAGTTTGAAGTAGGTCAGTGAAGTTGTCGTTTGGTTTCCTGTCAATCAGGATATTAAGTCTTGGTAGTCAGAGGAAAGTGTTGCCATGTGTGTTTTTAAAACAATCAAGTTTAACATGTAGGTAATATCTTATGTATAGACGGAAACTATCAAGACAGTGTCTGGTTATTAATTGCCTTCAAGGAAAGAAATTCGTCCATTTCTACCATCAGCATGTTTATTGACTATCCCTTTCAACGAATTATACCTTAACCGGAAGTAACAGTGAAGCAATCTAGAAGTATAAAAAAGTTTGAAAATGTCAAAAAGTCATTTTTTACCTTAGATTTCGGTTCATTAATTACGACTAAAAGTAATGACGAGAGTAATTCCATGAATCTCAATGCTCTCAAGGCATCGGAATATGCTTTAAGGTCCCATTCGATAACTTTGTTTACTTTAAGTCTTCTCCTGATCCATCGTCATCAAGTACTTTTGAATTGGCATCAAATATGTATTTTCTATGTTCTACCGCAAAGGCAGTCGCTCCACGTGATTCAAATTGAAGTATATTGATTAATTTGCCTGTTAAAGTAAATTTATTTGCCTTTTTGAAACATGATTTTAAAATATATGTCAGAGAAGACAAGTTGTCTATCGCTGGTATATTTGGACGGAGGTTGTTGGTTATTGTTGCAATGTATGCTTATCTTGTTCAGTTTCACCATCAGTAAATCAGTCATAACAGAACAAAACGATACTTATTTCAAGAGGCGTCCAATATATATGTCTCTGTTCCCACTACAACGACATTCGCTCTATGTGGTTCAAATTTTAGGATATTGTTAATTTGCCTCTTTGAATCATCAATTTGAGAGAAATGTATCTCTTATTCAGTTTCACGTATTCTAGTAATAGAACTATGCATCACGTTAACTTTCGGTCGAATAATGCCAATTTTCAAAATGCAAATTCATGGGTGAAAAACATTCCCACCATCAAGAAAAGAACTCGGCGTCTACATGTTAGAATTTTGTGTAATTTCATATCATAACAGCTATTCTAATGATTGTAACATATTTTAAATAGCGATAAATATAATACACAAGTCTAAGTGAAATCATATCATGACCTTCATCAGTATTACACCAAAATATCTTAACATACTCTTGTTTTTATCTTCTGGTAGCATGCCAGCATCACCATAGAAACAAAATGGCGGCTTGTTCCCGGTGAAAGTGGTGCCAGAAATAACCTTCAAAATATTGACTATTGTTTTCTCTTGTCTGGTACATGTCAGATTCTCTTTTCAATCTCTTTTTCCGTATATACTAAAAGGATGTACATAGATACTAATAAATTGTTACTGCAAATCTGAGAAAAAATCTGAATAAATAGGCGAATTGATTTGTCACATATAATAGAAAACAATCCGCCTTCAAGAAAAATTCTTTGAGTTAAAGCTACATGAAGATGTTATTTATTTGTTAACACCTAGTCCCAATTCTGGACAATAAGACGTTGCCCATTGCAATCATACGCCGACATATCGATACCTGAATGTATCATTTTGACAATGTATTGTCCAGTTTAAAGATCTACGTCTCGTTTTAACTGAGGACTCGGTGAGCTACACGCCTGCATATTGACCTGTAGTCTTACACTTCTTTCCCTGCAGCGGTCGACATGAATAATACAGATAACCGTTTGTGCGACCGTAGGTCTAATGTTGACTTTTATGGTCCCACTATTGTTGAAAATCACAAACGAGTTGGGTAATGCCCAAATGCTGACGAAATTTCCCTTAAACCACACTGTAGGCTGTATCCATTTGCTCAATTCGATTCGATTCAGTAAAGTGAAAGATCAAAATTAGCGTTTCAAGTAACCGATAAAAATAGTTCATGAGAGATTATATAAGGGGGCATAACCCATATCATTGGTAATGATTCAATAACATGAAATATCTGTACTCGCTGGTTTTCATAGATGGAAAATTTGGTTTTTATATCAAAATTGAAATGTGCATGATAAAGAGACCTTCGATGAAAGATATGTGTTCTGTATTTACAGGTTACCCCTGGTAGTGTAGCGTCTAGTGGACTAGGACCTGGTGACACCATTATGAAAATAGGCAATGCCAATGCCACTGGTTTATCACATAATGAAGGACAAGAAATTATTCGAAATTCTGGAAATATTTTACAGTTAACTATTAAAAAGTAAGTAATCGGGCGAATAAATAAATCTGGACTTCAATTTCATAACATTGCCTTTTATTGAACCTGTCTAAAATTGTTTAATTGTTAACCAACATAGAACAGACACAAACGTATACTTTTTATACCCATCCAAAACTAAAGGTCTTACTTGTATATTTGAGTACAATGCACTGTGCTGTTCTAAATCTGGCTAATCGTCATAAATGTTTATAACAGTGCGTTTACATATGTGTATATTTTTCCATTGTAGACTGAGTGCTTCATGTCAACCAGGACCTATGTCTCCTAACCGTCATAATTATGATAGTCAAGTTTCGGCACAGCTTTACGAACAGCAACAGCAGCAACATCAACAACAGCAACATCAAGCTAGTCCTAGAGTTCAACAGCAACAGCAACCCGTCTCGTATGGCCACAGTCTTTCTCATGATCAGTCAGATCAACCTTATAGAATTCAGATACAGCACACAAAAACTCCGTCCTATTCTGACACTAATTCTTACAACAGTCGGAGCTACGTGGATAGTTCTTCTCAACAAGCTCAAAGCTACGGTAGTCCCGGTTATCAACAGGACTATCCAACTTATGGACGACAGACGTCACAACATAACAGATCTCAGTCGGATAATTACCAGTCTTCTACTCCACAATACAATACCCCACAGTACACAACGCAGACATCAACTCCACAGTACAGTTCTCAGACGTCTAGAGACTATTCTTATGGTTCCCAACAGCAGTCAACACCTATAAAAATACAGTTTCAGCCAAATCCACAGCAATCTTTTAGTCCTCGGTCAACACAACCATCGTTTTCTGATGGTTATTATGGAGCTAATCAAACACATTATGGTTCAAGCCAGCCCAAGAGTCCACAAACTTCGTTTCAGCCAAAGTCTCCTTTCAGCCCGGGTGGTACCCCTTACTATCAAGAAGAAGTGCAATCACCTTCTTACAAAAGTCCAATCTTGCCAGGTGGGGGAACTTTGAACAGAAGTCTCAGCCAGGAGCAACAGAATCAAAGTAGTCCATACTCAACTGGTCAGTATAGTACGTTATCTCCGACGGGTACATATAGTCGCAACGCAAGTTCGGATTACAATCAAACGGATTATTCACAAACGTTTCCAAGAACTTACAGTAGACAATCATCACAACCTCAACAATCATCGTCTTATGTGAGTGAACAGCCACAGTACGGCTCACCAGCTAAACCAACATTCTCACCGTCCGGTCCATCTAGTTATAACAGGAGTACCTCTCAAACAGGCCAGACTTATGCTGATGTGCTTCAACAAGAACAGCCAAGTGCGACAACTACAGCTACATTTAGCCCAACAAGACAACAAATGAATCCTTTAAGTCCGTCAAGCCCATCTTATGGTGGTCACAAGCAACCATCATTTTTACAACAACAACCTGCTTATGCAACTCAAAGTCAAAAACCAGCTTACGGAACTCAGAGTCATCAGCCAGCTTACGGAATTCAGAGTCAACAACCAGCTTACGGAAGCCAGCAACCAAGTTACGGTGTTCAGCCACAACCAAGCTATGGATCTCAACCAACCACACCACAAGCAGTACCTGCTGCACCCCAATATATACCACCGGCTCCGGCGGCTCCAGTTGCTCCTGCTGCTCCCCCTGTCGCAGATTTCACTGCTTTCAATAACTCATACTCTCCATCACGACCTAGTTATGGAGTAAGTCCAGACCTATCCTCATTGTCTTTGGACTCATATTCTACCGATCAAGATCATTACTTACAAAGCCAACTAACAGAACCTATATCTGTTGCCCCTCCTGCCCCACCTGCCCCTGATTTTTCTATGCCCCCTCCTCCTCCTCCCCCTCCTGCAGGACCCCCTCCCCCACCTCCACCACCTATACCAGGTTCGTTAGCTGACTGGCGTCCGGACGATCAGGTAAGATATCTTTATCAGCTATATACAGTATAGCTTTCAGTATTTCATTTGGTGACAGAATTTTACTTCCAAATCTGAAAAATGGAGCTGTAAAATAAAAATATTCAACATTTTTATAACCAAATGAACAGAAAGCATGAAAGTAGAAGGCCACCTTGCTATTTTTGTAGACTGTAGTGTAGCATGTCTAGTAAGTATAATCATTTAGCACCGCTTTTAACTGCACTAGTACCCGCAATAGATACACTTGGACTAATATAAAGACGTCTGAAAGAAGGCACCGAACACAAAAATACCATGCCTCTATCTAAAGTACAACTGAAACTGGATTTTTTAGAAGTTTCATCACATTGTATAAACTATACTGTTTTTATATTTTATCGCCTTCTACCATTTTTGTTAGGTGTTCCTTTTCCCTTGCGTTTATATGCTCTACAGAATCGTTTTCTTAGGCAATCTTGATCATTGGTTCTTATAAAAATAATTCGAATAGTCTCCACTGTTTCATATTCAGAACTGGCCGCATCAACCTTTCCCTGTTGTTAGCTAAGTGTTGGTGAAGTGCGGCTTGTTTAGGTTTTTAATATCTTGGATATCAATGTTCAACGAGGTAGATTATCTCACATTAAATCAACTGTCACGAGTCTTGGTTTTCAGTGTCTACTTGACATTTTATTTACCTTTGATTTGTAATGCAAGTCATTGCGCATGGCGGTATTTAGACAGTAGAATCTGTAAACTAAACATGTAATGTACACAGAATATTTTATCTCCTTGACAACAAGCCTGTGGGACGGTAGGTGAAATTCTTCCCGTGTCCCGTGGTATGTGATTACCATTGAATAATTATTAGTAACCTTCATTACTATGATATCCAGAGGCATCAATAATTCCATTTATCCTGCCGAAATCACGTACGTAAGTGACACACCTTACTGGATATTGAAGTAATCAACAGAAATTGCTTTTTGCTCTGTGATAATAACTACATTTTCATTTCTGAAATAGAATATATTTTTTTAAAAGAACCAGTTTAGACCCGATGGCAGAATAACATATCTTATAAATATGCAAAATATTGATGTTCTATAACGCATCAATTGGGTCAACTACAGACAAACGGCATTTCACACCGATTGTGGCTGGACATACACTACGAATTTTGTGTTTTTGGACTAGGTCCTATTTGTGTAAGTAGATATTGCTATAATATAAATCTAGATAATTAACTATCCCAGCTAGTATTGTAGGTATGTTATCAATTTATTAGATATTTTCTCCTATTTCTATAGCATGCTTTTTATGTTAGGTGATTGTTATATGTGAAATTTATAATACCTATTACTGAGCACCAAAGCAAGCACTGACTGAAATTCGTCATTGTTCCTTTTCCAATCTATTGACTACAATATGACATTAACTTAACTGACAGGAAATGTTGATAAAATTAAAGAATTCTAAAATACGACAAAATGTTGATTTTAATTGGAGATTATAGTATAGTTTTAAATAATAATTTTCAAAGATTGCCGTACTTGATACATTTAAAAAGATTAGTCTTCAAGAATACTCAAGAGGACACGGTTAACTGGTCATTGGATTTTCTTGCATTATATTATCTTAATAGCACGGATTTACACATACATGTATTAAAGTTTTCAACATAAGGTATTTCCATGCGAATGATACCGTTATGAATGATTGGAATCCTTCATAATAAAGATTAATAAATATTTATACGTGGAGAGTAAGGCACTGAGAAACGTAAAAAGAAAAGTATTGGTCGGAATTTTCGCTGCGAATTTACTTCGACCGTAATTTTAGTTTTTCAAAAATAAAGGTGAAATTGTGGAAACAAGATACCAAAGAATATACATGGTATTTAAAAAAAAGTATGTTGTAAGAGTGGTATTGCTATATTTATTTACTTCAAATACCACCGTGTTATTTTATTCTAATTAAGAACTCAAACCTGACAGAGAAATCAAGGTGATAAATACAATAGCAAAGTGTTGCCAGGAATGATAGGTAAATTAACGAATCTGCATAGAATGTATGCAATCCATATTATGTGGATTTTCAAAAGGAATGATTCGAGAAAGCTCATCGTGTAAATTTCACATAAAATATCCATACTTACTGCATGGTAAATTACTATTATTTGATTAATAACATCCAGCGGAAGTCCTTGAAGGAAATTGTCATATACTGGTATGTCCCCCCTGCATACTTGAGTAGTAAATCGTGCTAATGAAATAATATTTGAAACAGATTGTAATTGCGTATCTTCCATGTATTCCATAACATTTTAATTCAGTATGTGAAAGTATAATAAGTATCATTTATAATTTAAGTTAGACATTATCTTCTTCTGTGTACATCGATTGACTTCACTATATTTTATGTACATATGACTTGACATATTATTGCAGAAATCTGGAAGCGGTAGTACTAATAAACAGGATGGACCCAAAGTACCAGATGGACTAATAAGCGCCATGAATAAACCGGGTAAAAAACCGTTTTCGTATGGAATTGATCTGGAGGAGTTGAAACAGAGGACAAGGTAATATAACATTCTCTTATTAAAATCTAATATCTAGACAGTTTTCTAAAGAAACTAAAAGTTAGGTTATTCCACTTGCCGGTTTGGGCAGCCTACATTCGGAAAAACGATTTGTTGTATTGCTACAATTTGATGTGTAATCGTGATATCAAGATGTTATCAAAGTACTTCACTAAATACTATTTATTGTCTTAAACTTTGAATTGAGTTCTTTATATGATTTAAAAATTATATAAGTTAGATATAAGCCAGTATATACATGTATTGAACATTTAAAAATCATTTAAATGTCATTTTACCACTTAAAACATTAAACAAGGCGTTGACTGCATGTTTGATATTAGTTTAACCTGATTTCCGCCAATATTAATATAAATACTACCACTGTAAGAAATCTATTAGAGAGTGGAATTTAATTTGATTTGAAGCAAGGAGAGTATTGTGATTTTCAAAAACGTTCCTTTCATTTCAACGTAAGAAATTGACATATCTAAAATATAAGACTGTGGTGCTCAAGTATTATGGACGCAGCAGTTGTTGGAATTAAAATCTGGATTCAGCAATAGAGTTATTAAGGTGTAATTCCAATTTTGGTATTCCAAGGCAGCAATCTAACCTGCAAACTGAATTGGATTCGTAAGTAAACAGTAAATTATGTTCCCTTATATACTTACAGTCGCCAAGCACCTTCTGTGGCACAGAAAACCAAGAAGCCTGTAGCAGCACCAGCAGTAGGACCACCCAGTACAGCACCTAAACCAGGTATGGCTAAAACAAATGTAATGCCAGGTGGTCCACCAGGATCAGGGTAAGTTCTATTTTGATTATCAAATTTGTTACACGTGTTGTTTTTATTCAAAATACTTATGCTACCTGACAGTTTAAACGTGAGTTTTACAATAACCATGAAACTATAGCTATAGCTTATTTGATCACCAATCATCGCTATTTAAGTCTTGCCTTTAAAAAAAACTGTCCGATAATTCAAAGCGGACAAAAGCTGACGTCTCTGATAAAGCCGTTTCCTAATTTCAGTCAGACCTACAAGAATCAGTCAGAGACTTTACGAATGGTTCAAGAACGAGATGCTAGTAAGTACCAGCCTCAGTCCGAAATTGATGAAAGTCATATACACGTGAATCCACACGGTTCTAAAGGGAAACAATCACTGTCATTTAAAGTGCTGCAATGGATGACAGATACAGATGCAAATGAGAAAGCTGATGAGGGTAAGAAATCATAGTCCACACTCTTGCTTTTAAAACTCCGCCCTATCCTGTCTGTATAATCTAGACTACTAGATATATTATATATTATACTAGTGGGTGGAGCCTAGTTGTTCTATGAGGTATTATTTTACTTTTTCTGCATGCTCTAGATGTTGATTTAGTTCTGGCTTGATTTTTTTTCTGAAACTATATAACCTTAGTCCATATGATCATTCATTTATCTGGGTTTCAATTATCTTGCATATCCTATAAACCTGAATACAAAATTTGAACAACATTAAAGAACTAGCGACAAAATCAAATTCTTTTATAACTTTTAATTATCTACAGTTTAACGACAGGTTTGATAATATTCAAAATATGCCAATCTTTCTTGTGTACCGGTACTTAATCTTTGACTGGTCAGTATTTAGAATTTGAACGCCATATAAAATGTATGATTATGTGAACTCTCCTGAATTCTGGTATACATAGGTAAACTGTTTCCTTTTTCACTTTTAACACTTTGTATTTTTTGATGATTCATTTATATACTGAAACGATTTTCTTTCTATTTACCTTAACTATTCCTCTTTGGTAATGGGAAACGATCTTTACTTCCAATTTCACCCTCTTACAAATAATACCTGACAGATTGCCAGAAAAAGCAAGACAACATTCTTTTGAAACTCTAACAGTTATCGCCACTGATGCTCTATAACACTCTGTGCATATGACTACCCTCTTCTAAGTATGAAATTTAAATATATTTTATAACATGTACTACTTCCATTAGGTTATCGTTTTTGGAATTGTTTTATTAAATATTTTTTGTAAGTTACGTTGTGGGTTTTTCTTTAATTGTTGATGAAAAATACTAATTGCAGTTTTTTAATTGATTGGATTCTCGTCTCTCTTTAATTGATTGGATTCTCGTCTCTCTAACATGATAACTTGTCACCCGCGGTTATTCTAATACCACGGTCAGAACTGTCGAATTGACCTGGTGTAGGTTCTTACCGCCATCAGCATTATGAAAACAGAATGCATACTTATGATTATGTTTTACCTTCACAATGTAGTACCAGTCCAACAAGAACGACCAAAGAAACAACGAAATCCACTGTTAAGACATAATTCAGAAGACGATGAAATGAGGTTTTCTGGTTTACACAGTAAAGCTGATATACCATCTAAAGCCTTTGGTAGATTGAATAGTATGACGGCTCATGTTGATTCTCCACCCCAGAATACTCAGAATGATAATGGTAAGTAACATTTGAATGTGTCTAGATCTCGGTTAAAGCCTCAAAATCCCACAGATAACATATATAATATATTAATCCCAATTAAGGCGATTTAGGGCAAAAAATAGTTTGTTAGTTTTATAGCTCCCTTCAAACAAAACGATGGTGTACTGTTTAACCTATAACCAATAATCAATAACCTACCATTAGCCTTTCTCTTAAATTTGGAATACTTTTAATTCAAGAAACAAAGAGGAAAGAAGGACACAAGGACACAATTAGCAAGTCTATTATATTTAACTTAACGAACACCAATGTTTTATATTTCAGATGGTGTAGAAGAAGTAGGTAACTACGATCAAACCTCCATCAGATATAAGGGAAAATTCATACCTTCACCATCATTTAGAGTTTTACAGAATTGGGCTGCCCTTGATACAGATGTTGAAAGTAGGTGTAAGATATATTTCACAAGAGTTACCTCCCTGAATGTTTTTTTATGTAAAGAAAAATTACCAATGCAATTAATAATTGTCCTTAAAATCGGCTACATGTATTAGCCTTATTCATTATGAAATCTTGTCATTCAATTCTATCTTTATGATTCTTGTATCAAAGAAGGGAACCGCGGTGGCTCAATGAGTTAGAAGTTTGCTCGCTAACCTAAATGTCCAGGGTTCAATCACGGCATAGGTCGAGGTGATACCTTTGGACTTTTCAAATCGGTTTCCCCCTGTCAGTGATGCAGGTACGAGGGGCTGAAATGGAAAAAGCGTCTAGTCGTTCGGATGGGACAAAACACCGAGGCCCCGTGTGCCATAGGCTGAGTTTGTTAAAGATCCCTCGACAGTTGGAAATCGAAAAAGAGCTGGTTGTCCTAGCAAAATTTCCCTCATTGTATCCTGCATTGCGTTGCCCGTCTTCATTAGCCCACATGGTGCAGAAAAGTAGGACGTAAAACTCCATTCATTTCATTTCATTTTCTTGAAGCAAAGATGATAGATATTCCATTTTAGTTGGGTTTTCAAAGACGCCTATATCAATTTTATACCAACGAATTTCCTTGTTTCAGCACCAGCTCAGAGACGAGCTAATAAAGGGGACGATGAAGACGATGGACTACCAGATACTTTATCTAATGAAGAAATAGTAGACGTGAGATATAAAGGTGGACATATACCATCTAAAGTATTTAGATCATTACAGAAAGCTGTTGGTGATGACACACCCGAAGAAGCACAACCAGGTCAGCTGCAAATTCGACTTTATTATAACTAAAAGGAGAATGAATAATGGATTATTTTAGTGGGATTCACATTCTCATCAAAGATTTTTAAAAAATTTAATTTTTGTAGTTTTAATATTTGAGAATTAATGGAATTTTGAAAAAGAATCTGATCGAAGACTCACATGTGAGTAAGTTCTTGCACCATAAGACTATCAGAAAAGCAATTTTTGACAAAGAATGTAATCTTAAAGAGTCATGGAAAACGTCGTTTAATAATATGCCAATTTCTTTACTTTGAATATCTTGCTTAATCAATCCTTTTATATTATTACAGTTTCTCAGAATGGTATCAAAGTAATTACTAAGGCTGCTCCACCAACTACTGTTACTAAAGATAATGCCGGGACGGATTTTTAATACTTTGTTAATAATATAAGATAATTATTATTTATTGTTAATATCATTAATATTTTAATAGAATTATTATTTATTTATTTATTATAAACTGCATGTTTTAAGTCATAGTATTGATTAATTGTGAGATTGCATGAAATATTATAGCAAGTTACCTGCTGCTCCTATTCTTTTTCTTTATAATTGTAGGTAACTAAATAAATATGTCAGTTTGATTCAGTATTTTTGTGGATTATAATAATGAATACATAGATTGGATAGTCTCCCTTGAGCATTAAATTGACCTAATAACTGACTGGATAACTCTATCTCTCTTCCTTTTGTTGATAAACCTACCTTTTCTTTTACTATATCCATCTGTAAATATGTAAATATATGTAAATTATCTAATCTAAATAAGGAATGAATTGATTATAATAATTGTAGTAGATAATAACCAGCTCGGACAAGGGAGATAACTACATTATTTGTGTGTGATTGTGAGAGCTTCTTTCCAGTAAACTATTCCCTGATACTATGTGTAGTAGATACGATAATAATCCATCTTTCAGCTTTGAACCAATCATGAAGTAATTTATTAGTCCATTGCGTGTCCTTATATAGCCTTTGTTCCATTTAATCTAAATATTTGTGTTATAGGCGGATAGAGTCACACTGTTTCGAATTAAAATTCGTTTATCGCAGCAAGAAAATAATCTGGCAAAAATATTGAAATAGTTGAGACCTCGGAGAGAGAATTACACTATTTGCTAGTAGGAATATGACTATGCATGGTTTATAGTTTTTGAATTAAATGTAAAACCGATGATCTATTGAGCAATATGTATTTACATGTATTACATTTAAAATACAATGGTTATAATTATACATATGATTTAAAGTGCAATTTTCTCATGGTTCTGTTCGAGTTTATCAGATTTACAATTTTTGGATATGCATACACATGATGTACGAAGGACACAACAAGAAATGCTATGTGGTTATGATCTATTTGTACACTCTGTTGATATAACATATTTATATTTGCGTATTGATCTAATATGTTGTTGCTTTTTGGACAGTTTGCTGTGTCCTTGATGTGTATTGTACCCTTAGAGTAAAATAAATAAAACATGTTGTTGTTAGATAGTTTAGTTTTATTTCCATCGTAAGTAGTTAGTTGGTACCAAGTCGAAAAATGCAATGTTGAACAATTGCTTGTATGTATTCCTGAGGAATATATAGCCCAAAAGGCTCAAATAAACACATAAAGGTCTTCCTATTGTCATTATAGGTTCACTGACTCCAACAACTGTTATGAAGTCTTGCAAAGTGCATCCCGGTGAAATTTGTGTTCGTATGTTCAGTTTTACCAATCAGAGGATACTGAGAAATGTCCACACTTTGAGATTTAACAGTTTGACTGTCATATGTATTTGATCAGAAGTCTCCGATCCACTATCAAACGAAATCAACGAGTCATCGTCCACTTGGTCCAAGGCAAACTACCATATAATATTTGTCACTAATTTGTTTTCAAAGAGACTTCAAAACTAATTTTAGTCGTCTGCTTAGATTGTTTATATGCATATGGGAATATCTCACGAAACGTACTCATTCTTTCCACAGCGAATTTATATTCAATATCTGCTAGATTCTAGATCGTTGCCAAGTTATCATTCATAGCTATCTATTATCTCTAATTTCACTGATTCGATTCCAACAAGAGGTGGATGATCTGCGACAGTGTCTGAAGATTCGCATTCACTTTTCAACGCTTTCTCATGGTCATTATTACTAGATGCACTTTCTTCATTATCATTGGTTATGTTTACTGGAAAAAATAGCAAAAAAAAAACGTGATATTTAGTGCTTGTTTGAAACACAAATCCATACAATAGATACGTGCTCAACCTCAGAGCATCCAAAAGCATAATAGGGAGTATCTAGTAGTTGGGCAATATCCAGTGTGCTAAAACTTTGAGGTAGAGGTTTAGAGTACGAAATGGTTGGACTTTTGGACGTTGGAGATTAAACCCAAAAGCGTATCCAATGATAGGTGTTCATGCTTTAATTTTGAAAGAAATATATTTGGCACTACGGTAACAATCACCAGAATAGAATATTCAATCTTCAGTCATACACTAGGGTTCACCTTCAAAATAAATTTTAAAAATTCGATTTTCGATAGGTTTTTCGTCCTTGGGTGATTATATACAATTAAACCAAGTTAATCCGTCAAGGAATTGAGCCTTCCAGAGTGTTTACAAGCAATGATGGACGGACGGGCCGAAATGGGTGACGGCAGTATTTGCTTCACATTTCATGTGGGCGTATAAAATGTAGTAAGATTGACTAACAAAACTGATGGAAAGAAAAAGAAGTTTAGAATAGAATATGATGTGTTAAGTTGTTAATATAAATTCCATCTATCAAAGCTTGAATCCTAGATTCTTTTTGCTACGATGTACGATGCCCGGTGCTGAATGATCGATACAATAGAAAATAGAAGATGTGAACACACGAGGTACGGATCCGGACACGATTCGTTTCTTTTATTTTCTACTGTATCGATACTTCCGCACTGTACATCACACCGGGCAACGTACCTCGTCTATTCGCAGCTTTAGTGTTGGACAAACCGATGCATTTTTGAGTTTTATATTTGAATGGGTCAAAACGTATTAATCCCCGGAGGGCAGCACAAAGAGATATAGACAATGCATGAAGGGTGTTAAAATAAATTTATTAAGAATACATAAAAGCCGTGATTCTAAGAGGAAATCTGTTTGAATCACTACATCCAACAATCTATATAGAATTAACAAGACTGCGATTGACGTCTCCAAATTAGGAGATGTAGAAATATCAAAAGAAAAGTAGGATCAATGCAAGTGAGTAGAAAGTCCTTTAGCAAACCTCATTACAATAGGGCTCAGTTTGAAAAGTATAAAGGTTACAATTCCTCATTATGATCACTATCTTTGTCTTGAATTTGTTTCAAGCGCTTTTTCCAATAAACCTTTTGTAGTCCCACAACCTCTAATTCTGCTGCTACCAGTTTAATTTTGGCTGCGTGTTCAGCTTCACCACAAGCTTTATCAGATTCAATAAGAGACATTTTGGACGAATGAGACATCTCTTCGTGATACATCACCTTCCTGGGGTAGTCTTGGTCAGTAACTGGACGGTCTGTGCTAGAACCATGCTGAAATTGAACTTGTTGGGGTAGGTTATGGTTGTAGCCATTTGAGATATAAAATGGCGGAGGCAATACATGGTCTGGAATCATATACCGAAAATGACTGTGTCCCTCGTTAAATCTAAAATGATCTCTTCTGAAAGAAAAGCCACTGTGCATTTTGCCATGAATATGTGGAATGGCCCTTGTTTGATCTAGCCAATGGGGATATTCATGCAGAGGACGTTCATTGTCCATCAGAGAACGTGGAGTTTGTTGCGCCTCGGACACTTTCATGGGCATCGTTTTGTTCTTGTTTATTTCCTTGGACTCAACCGGTAAATGTTCAGGCGAAATGTCTGGAATCATCAATTCGTCTGTTATATAGTTCTTATTATCAGTGGGGTCATCTTGTTCGCACATACGAGTCAACCTATCCAAGCTTGAACAGTTCCGCTTTTCCAGGGAATGTTTGGAGGGCTCTCCTTTCCTCTTTATTTGTCTGCTGTCACTGTCCCGCTTTGCATCGTCCAAACGTTTATCTAATAATTTCCTTAAATTTTGGTTTGTTGAAATAGAAGTACTTATAGGATCATTTGCGATGCCTGCAAAAGGCTTGTTAATTTCTTCGTGATCGCTGTCAGAAGCCGATTTTGAGCTGCTAGATGGTAGATATTCCGTTTGAATTGCACCTGTATATTTGGTAAGTGACGAGGAATCAGTATGTCTAACACCGGTATCTACACTACTATTTGAAGATTCGGCTTTACCGTTTACAGAATACTGAGAAATGTCAACACATTTTATATCTGTTTTACTGTCATTTGTCTCTGCGCCCCTAGCTTTGAGATTTTCATCATGGCTACCATTTTTACTATCCAATGGATCAGTGTTGGAGTTCTTACGTTTAAATGAGTTAACATTTGATTTAAGAATGTCGTTATACAGTGCTTGGTCTTTTTTAGCATTGATGTTTTCAACCACATTCCCGTTAGATTCCAGATCTTTGAGCGGTGGATTTATAAACCCAATACAATCTGTCATCACTTCAGTTCCAGTTTTGGCTGAAAATGTTATGTTATCTGACGACGTTGAATCACTTTTGCACGAAAGCAATTTAACATCATTCTTGTTGACAACTTTGCTTCGATTGTTTTCCTTGTCCCTCGATTTGGGGATGTCTCTTCGCGGATTTCTCATGGTATTTTCCAATAGATTAGTGTTCGATTCTAGATCTACTGCCTCTATTTTCACTGATTCGATTCGTACAAGAGGTGGATGATCTGTGACAGTGTGTAAAGATTTGCATCCATTATTCAATTCGGCCTCATGGTCTTCAACATTAATCTGCTTCATTTCATTGGTTTTGTCTCTAGGTCTTAGATCATCAGTATCATCAACAGGGGCACCTTTTTCCTTATCACTGTTATTATTTACTGGAAAACAAAGTAAAATGACATTAATCGTAGGTACTTCTTTTTTTCTGTTGAGTTTGTCAAAATCCAAGAAGCACAAAATTCGTGGGAGAGGGGCTATAGTCAATTGGAAAATCCGACCCCCCTAAATCAAAAGATTTGATTGGTTGATTATAAATACTAATAGACATATATTACCCTAAATTGTATTCATATGAATCAAACAACCAAACGTAGGAAAGATAGATAAATATTTGATCAAAAAAGACAAATTGCTTGATGGTTCCGATACTACTACGACTGACAATGGTATCAAAACCACAGCGGGCAACACAGCGGATGCAGTACCAAGATGCTCTGAAAAGACAGGAGTACCAGGTGACATTGGAAAAGAAGACGTTCCAAAGCAACCGAGAATAAAATTTCCAGCAATGTCTGGTCGCCATTTTAGTAACAGCTGGTATGATCGATTTCCATTGCTGGAGTATTCAGTGTCAAGGGACGCCCCTTTTTGATTTCCATGTCGAGTGTTTCACCATACATCTGCGGGTGCATAAAAATTCATCACTGAAGGCTACACAGATTGGAAGCATGCTGTAGGTGATACTGGAAAGGGCCTCGAGAAGCATAACAATTGAGGTGTCAAAACAATTTCTCCAAGATAACCTTGCCAAGACAGAAAATCAGGACTCCAATCTTGTTCTTCAAAAACTATACGAGCAGAAATTGGCTTTCCCTAAATCATATGCACTAGCTGCAAGCGTTGCCACATTCGGTTCTAGTACCGCTGTGTGTGAAAGCACCTTTTCAACTCTTAATCGCGTTGACTCACCACAACGACGATCTATGACTCAGCTTCGCCAGTGCAATCTTGTTCTTCTTGCCTTCAACAGGAAGCGTACCCAGAAAATTAACTTGGACGTATTTGTTCAACGTTTTGCCATAAAACATACCCGACTATGTTTAAACTAAAACGACAATAAAAATGTAACGCATTATAACTTGTGTGTTTTAACAAAAATAATCTCGAATCTAAAATACTCCATGAAAGTCTGTTTCCCGACGTTTAATCGTCTGTTATGGTGCTTTGCTAAATTGCCCCCCTCGATTGCACGTAAAATATTAGATTTTTTCAGTGGTCTCTCTGTGCGTAAATGATTGGCTTTAAGAACAATATAAAAATAAAGAAAAGATATCCAAGCTACAGAATTGTCAATAAATGAATGTTTTAGGTCTCTGAATCCCGAAATATTAAATACCATTTTGAAATCCAACTTACACAGTGTCATGGTAGACATATAACACACCATTTACTCCAGTCCACAGCAAATTCCACATACACTCACACAAACACATACACTGGTAATCAATCATTATAACATTATAAACACAAGCACAATATCCATTAGTTTCCACAATCTATACTTCAACAATGCAGTCCCACATCTTACTGTAGAAATTTAGCGTTTGTCGACCTCACACTATTTTCAGGGTTCAGAACATTTAATTACCAGGAATGGTCTGTGTAAACAATATTTCAACAATGTTCTTAACACCTTATAAATCATCTCATTATAATCTAGAAAGTATTATCTTGGTAAGCCATGGTGAGAACATGATGTCAAGCTTAGAAAGAAACAGTTATTTTATAAATTTAGGGTATATTTGACATTCATTGATTTAATCTCATGTCTTGATACTTTTTGTAGAAAAAGAATATTTTGTTCTATTTTGCCTATGATAATTATATGTATTTATTGACTTAAAGAAATTCTACCTGTTAGAATGAACATAAATTTATCTCAAACTTGGCCAATAAGAGTATATATTCTGCAATGGACTAACCTGGTGTCATCATTATTAAATACTTAATATGTACGTAATTATAATTAAAGTACTTATTATGTTTTAAGTTTAAAGAGAATAGTACAAGATGAGTGTTACTTTCAACGAGAACAGGATATTATATTAAGTAACATATCGTAAACATCTTTATAAGTTTACACTCTTTGAGTACAAGAGCTCCACTGCAATACAGTCTGTTGTGGATACTTCCGCAGAGTCCATGTATCTATATTGTATTAAGACATGTTATATTGTTAGCTATATTACCGGGGACGTAAATATGACAAGAACGTCATGTATAGAAAACAAAACATACCAGATATAAATTCTAAACTATCCGGAGAAGAAGAAGCTTTTTTCGAGTTCCAACTAACTATATTTTCCTCGTTTAAAATTATACTCTGAATTTCTGTTGCCACCTCGTAGCAAAACTTCATGGTGTCACAATTGTGAAATATAAATTTAAGGATTGCTAGACTGCTCACATGTTGTTTATCATCAATAGTCTTTGAATATGGTTTATTATTACTAAAGAAACGTGACATATTCCATTTTCTCAACTTTCTCTCCGTGCTCAAATTCTTAGATGTAATAAAAGTACGAAAATCGTCAAAAGATATCCAAACACCGGATTCATCTTTGAAAGAATGTTTAAAGACTTTAAATCCAGAAATATTAAATACCATTTTTGATTCGTAAAGTTCCAAAACGTCACAGAAAAAAAAAATCCAACACGTGCACACTGAGCAAGTACATGTAGTCAAAATATAACATAAACTAAGACTAAGACCTATCTATAAAAGACCGCCTTACACTTCATCCATTTTAGCATGAACAAAGATGAACAAAGATGAACAAAGAGCATCAGGTCATGTAAAATTAAACGTAACCTGGCATACTTTATCAGATATTACGTACTGATCTAACGCACAGGACAACCGTTATCTAACCTTTACGGTCCATAGCCTCTAAATGAACCATCTGTTTGGGAAGACTGCTTAGTATCGTATTACTGATTTTAGCACATTAGTTTATATATCTATTGAACAAACGCCCCTCTATTTCACGTCCAACTTTAAATGTCTAATATTACATGTGTACACTCGTCGCATCAAGGAATTTGATGAAAATTCATCTTAAGTCATCTTCATCTTTAAGTCACAGTTCCAGGGTTCCAGTTAACGTTTTTCTTTCATTTCCCTTCCTTAGTTCAAATTAAAAGTCACTTTAATTACGGATCAAGAGTCGGCAGTCAGCTGGGAAATTAAAACAAATGTCTTTGCTACACTACATTTAGGTATAAGGTTTATTATCAAAATGCAAAAAAAAAAAAAGAAATACGTAAACTTACCTGGGTTATTGGATAATTTTCTGTCACTTAAATAGTTTTTACAAACTTGCTTCCATTTCCTAGCTCTGTAATCTAGGTACCGTTTTCTAGTGTTTGTAACTGCATCATCTTTATGAGTTCTGTAATCTGGACTTTGTTGATCACTGTCTCTGTAATCCGGATCTTGCACCATGCAAGAAATATCCGATTCTGCGTCCATACAGGGAACTACCAGTGCCACACGTCTTTAAAGGATGAGTGACCTAGTTCTCAAGCTGGCCAGGGATGTAGGTTTATGTTATTATATTTAGAGTGTCAGGAATGGGCCATTATTTTATCACCACATTTTTTCTGTAACCTGATACTTTTATTATCAATTGTAAATCAGTCATTGTAAAGTCTTTAAGTAACATTTAGCAATTGTAAGAACGAAATATGGATACAGCTTTTTGTAACAACAATCACTGGTTTATGCAACGTTTCGACATGTTTCCTTGTCGTTTTCAGCCACATAATGATAGAAAAGAAACTACAAATACATAACAATATGATACACTTATCGACCTGTCGTTATCTATACATATTATGTATGCTATATATTTTACTTAATATCTACAACTAAATCATATATGGATATTTTTATAGGTTCACTTGAAATGTCCGTCCGTCCATAATTGCTCGTTATCACTCTAAAATTCATGATTCTTCACCGATTTTGACCAAACCTATCATCCAGGGATGAACCCCAAAATCAATAAAATCTGGAAAAACTTTGATACGACTTATCATTTGCTCTTGTTCTTGAAAATGCGTTCAATTTTTAGCACGTAAACAATGCAGACAGCACAATACTTGACACATTTTGACAAAACTTGCTGCAAGTTTTTATTGAAACTGAGGACGACGGAGGAAAACATGTACAGACATGATCAATGTTCATAATTCCTTTGGGTTATAGTTAACACGCCTCCTAACCATAAAAATGAAATTGGTTTACAAAAATGGTCCTGTTTAGGTCATAATGGAACCAAAAATTTCAAAATGATTTCAACAAAATCTTAAGACAAAATGGCCCCATGAGATAAAAATGGCCCAAGTTAAGAATGTTGTTTGTATCTTTATAAGATAGATGTGATGATTTGTGGGTTATATTATAATACATGAAAGAATAACAATAATAGCTTATATGATGATTAATCCACGGATTATGATTGATGAGTGATTCCATCCCGGTGGTTTACACCCATTATTTTTTACAATTTGTTATATAATAAGACAGGCAAAGTAATATACGCCCACTGACACGATTTTAAATAAATACATTTGGCAGTGCAGTAACAATTACCATCATGAAATATTCAACCTTCAGTCATATACTTCTTTTGAACTTTTTAGTCAAAATCTGTCAATAATTGAGCCTTCTAGAGTGTTTACAGGCTAAAACTTGAACGCGTTTTTAAGAACAAGGGCAATAACTCAAACTAAATATTTTTCGATTCTTCTGATTTTCGATAGGGTTCATCCTTGGTTGATACTTAACACTCACACCATGTTTCGTCAAAATTCATCAAGAATTGTGCCTTCTAGAGTGTTTACAAGCTAAAACTTGAACGCATTAACAAGAACCAGGGCAATAACTCATACTTAATATTTTTCGATTTTTCTGATTTTCAATAAGGTTCATCCTTGGGAGATCACAATCAATCATACTAAGTTTCGTCAAAATCAGTCAAGAACTGTGCCTTCTAGAATGTTTACGAACAATTGTGGACGGACGGATGGACATGGGGGACGACAATATACACCCCCCATTTCATATGGGCGTAAAGAAATTTGTTTTTTTTTTTACTTTTTCATGGTATCATTTTAATTTTTACCAAAGGCTATATTAATCTTTTTCGGGACAATCTTAATCCCTCTGGGTGTTGATCATTGAACATTCATCTAAATAACCTTTACACTTAAACTGATGACCTCTGCGTTAACTGATCACATTTAACTGGGTCAAATTGGAACAACCTTTAAAAAGACGTTTCAATAATGCTTGAAACAGTATTCAAAACAGCTGCTATTGACTTCTCGATGAAAAGATACCTACAAACTGTCGGAATATCTTCAGGAGGGCAGGAACATTTTGAGATGTTTATGGAGAAAAAAGACTTTATCGCTGTTTTACCAACTGGCTATAAAAATATAATCAATTTTAGCATTTACAAAAATATATACTTACTAGAATCTTCTTTCAATGACTTCTTGTCTTTTTTAGATTCATCAAACATGACAGGCTTTGGTCTTATAGCTTGATATTTTATCTTTGCTGGGGGGAACTGTGGAGATCTTAACAAACGTTTTCGTCGAATTTCTACTGGTCTTGCATCTGTAGAACTAGAACTAGAACTAGTAGCAGTAAATTGAGAATTGCCTTTTGGTGACTCGTCTTTTAAACTCCTTTCCTTCGTGGCTTTCCTCAGTGATTCCAGTTCATTTGTTAACCGTTCACTTTCCTTTCTCATTCTCAACACACTGTCAATTTTTACCATACATTTCGTGCATATTCCATTCCTTGCAGCTCTCTCCTTTTTAATATCTAACCTTTCTTGCAAAACTTCAAAATATTTTTGAGAGTTTTCGTCGGTAACGCGTAGTTTACGTTTCAATCCTTGTTTATTTAAAATGGTTTCGCCACTTGAATTTATTTCCATGAAGATGAAAGACTTTCCACATATCAAACACAAACTTCCACTCGAATATAAGTTATTCGGTGTCGATACAGCGCTTGATTCCATGATGTATACGTCGATTAGACAATAGTTGATCAAGTCCACCAAAATTGAATTTGGAGCACGCCTTCGTTCACGACGTTCCAAATTGACCCAGTTAGACAAGTAGTTTATTTACTGAATACACCTTTTGTTCGCTTCACAAAAACCCAGCGTTTGAGAGGGAAGACATTTTATTGGCTGGCGCTGTCATCAAATGGATAAATATTCAAGAGTGGCGCCTTTACAATTGAAGTGGCTAAAATTATAAATAAAAAGTTATGAAAACTAAACGAATAGTTGGTGTAATTTTAGAAACGTTCCTGGAATGGACAATTTAGTGCAAATGATTTTAGTCTTGAATATATGTAAATTGTCTGCAGAAGTACTACTCTTGTCTGGTATGATGCCATGGAATCCCTCCGCTCAAATTTGCAAAGTTTTAAAACGTAGACATTTTTATCTTCAAATGTTAAACTAGAAATTTGGAAATGTAACATTAACGCAAATTTAGCAACGCAATAGTGTTAACGTCAGTAAGTTTACATCATGGATTTTTCGTCTAAAAAAATCAAAAATTAGTAATTATTTGTAGTCAAAGCAAAATGCCACAAAACTGTTATTCACATGAGGAAGTATATCTATAAGTGAGTCTGTATTTCATAATGACAAATGGTATCAGGTGTCTAGAAGAGTACGCACACACTGTCAGCTGCCACACCCGTCATAGCTGCTTAACATCCACAACATACCTAAGACCAACGTACAGACTAACAAAATATTGACTGTGAGATGTTTTTAAAATTTCAAGGGACGTAACTCATGAAAACATATTTGATAGAATTCAATAGTTCAACTTACCTACTTTACAACAACAGACATCAAAAAGCTTTCATAATGTTGTAATTTTACACTTCGGTCATATATCTAGTAGATCTAGCGTTCATAAAAAAACGAATAGACAATGAATGTGAATGTCAGTTCAACAGTTCTCTCTAATAAAACTATGAAATCAATAAATCTAGCTTACCTGTTAGTAGCCAAGCCATGTGATCTAGTTGTGCAGCTTTCTTTAATGCAGCCAGTTTCATTGACAACAAGCCCATCGCTTTAAACCTTTTCTTTTTCGCTAGCGTGGACAGTTTTGTCTTACGTTTTCTCTTGATGTTACTTTTAGACTCCATATTTGCAAATGGCGGACACGGGGACGCTGTCAACATGGGGAATTCCTACAAGTCACATGACGTAATGGGTATAAATATGTCGAATAAAACTAGGCATGAGATAGTAAACAATATGAATTTTTGCATATTTTCGACTCCATGCTTGCAAATGGCGGACACAGGGACGCTGTTAACAAAGGGGAATTCCTACAAGTCACGTGACGTAATGGTTAAAAATATATCGAATAAAAAAAGGCACGAGGCAGTAAACGGTATGAATTTTTGCATAATACGTAAGTTAATATTCAATCTCGCAAATTACGTTTGGGATCAGAATGCAGATAATTGTTATCAAAACAGTATATTAGAAAAATATCACACGAAAATGTTAGCTTCCGCTTATATTTTAATTGGGTAGATGTATGTGACATAACATTAATTATCTAATTGTCAAGTTAAGGGCGTCGACTGGTCTATGTTATGTTAAAAAAAAGTATGGAATTATTATATGAAAACCTGATTTCTTGAGAATGGTTGTGCATTTTATGAAGATTTGGGGTCCTTCTCCTCAGTTTAAAGTTGATTTCATTAATTAGTGTTTTGACAGCCCTTCAAACATGTCATGAAAATTGGATATTTCAAACTTTCAACATAAGATTTAAAAAAGATGAATGGATCAATCTCCACCAAACTTAACAAATCAGAAGACAATTATAATGCGAAAAATGTAATGTTTTGTTTTTTCATTTTTGTGTATTCCTTAGGGTTGTATCTTTGGAAATGTAAAAAATTAATTGTAATAACAATTATCATGCATTCTTGACCCGAAAGTAATTAATTAATTAACCGTTGTGTTGAGCAACAGTTCAAACTTTCACACTCGCATTTTCTCCTTGTGAATACAACAGAGCAAGAGGCCTGTTCATGACAGACACCGCCCCTAAATCGACGATCTCGGTCTTGTAAGAAAGTTTATTTAATAACGAAAAGAAATGTGTTGACCGCGTTAGATTTTTATTCCTCCCAAATTCATATTTTTTCACATTTAATTTAACATTCCCGTGGTTACGACTAAAATTAAGAAAAAAATCATTGCAGGGATCAATACACCCTTCTTATATCTTGTATCGAAGGTTTGAAATGTCAATTTCCATGACACTGTCCAAAGGGCTGTCAAAATATTAAAAATTCTGAATGACATACAGTCAACTTCAAACTTGGGTAGGACCAATACTCTCCATAAGATACTAAATTTTTCAGTTTCAGGAAATCATTATTTCATTAGCCCATGAATTCATAACATGAAACACATCGGCCACACCCTTAATGATAAAACATTTAAATGAATTGCACGATTTTAACTATGTCACAATGAATTTACGAAAGCTGTTGGCTATTTACTTTAGCTTGGCGTGCTTTACGTGTATTTTTCAAATAAATATAATATGATGGGGCATTATTAGTTAATTAGAAAAATATTTCTAGTTTTTATGATGAGCCTGGGTTGCGTGACTGTGCCTCGTGACAATAAAATAAACCAACTAACAACGAAACCATACTAAATCCAACATTGGGTACAAAATATAAAGGGAGGCAAATCTTCCAATCTTGTTTCTTACGGACGGATTTTCTTTGTTCATTGCCGACATACAACACATACTGGCTGTAAAAGTCGGAAATAATATATACATGTACTTACGGAATATGTTTCTTTCCCTAACCCTAGAATGTATATTAATCGAGCATAACAAAAGTAGGGATAAAGTTAAGGTAGGAAATTTAAGTAGAATATAAGTAATCCAACTGCTCAAGGGATTCCGTGTGGATAATTTGGAATATGTTAATCCAATCATGATAACAATTACCCCTATTCCGAATGAAAGTCATTCCATCGTAAAAGTAACAAAAACTAAAAGAGGGTCGGATCTTGGGGAGCTGTACAAAATGTACAACTTGTAATGTAGTATTCCCAAAACAACACACACATTTATATGTAAGAAACGCATCAATTCCGTATAATATAATATTATTTTTCATAAACGTAACATTTTAGACCGAATATCGAATATCAGCCATTATCCACTGCATCATTTATAAATAAACAAAAGAAGCATCTGATATTAAAGGAAAGCTCTATAAATATATAGAATGATCCAATGTTTATTCGTTTGTAGATGGTTGTACGTGAGTCGACTACTGTTTTATCATCAGCCTACTGTACATTGGTCTAATCAGTATTATAACTTGCAGAAAGCTACCAACTCACACGTCCAGTCGAGGTATCGCCAAGTTTTATCGCGGTGAAGAAGAGATAAGCGAGACGAGAGCTCGATTGAAATGTGATTATGTGAGATCAGTAACAGCGGGTGGGAATACTCCACACCACAGTAATGTCAGACACATCCGGCAATTTACGATATGAGCGTGCTCTTCAACACGTCACGCTAATCTAGCATAATCCTCTTTGTTTCATTGCACGGCGCCGAATCCCCTCGCTAAGACGAAACCGTTAAAACCAGCAAATAGAGATAATGAGCACAAACTACGGTAGTTTGAAGTCGACCGGCGATATTTTTTACGGTCATTACTAACGGCATTAACATTAACGTCAACTGCAAACCTATTTATCATATCTGATATCATTCTAACCTAAAAACAGTCTGGCGGGAGGGTTTTTAATAATCTATCGACATTCTTGACTGTTAAATATTTTAGAAATATAATATATTTGGGTTAAAGATGTATAGCTGTGATACTGTGGTCGCTGAGCAGCAGAATATAATATTGTAAAGTGGATATTATATATATATATATCGGTGAAGTCGTAATAAAAGAATCCAACCCTTCCCTGAAACTTAAAAATGAAAGTTGCTGGGTAAGAGATAAAGTGAAACCATATCATATACATCTATGCGTGGAATCCAGCTGTCGGTAATACAACAGGCAGGACCCATTCAATTATTTTAAATTATTTCCAATAAATATTTTATGAAAATATATTATATTATATATTGCATGAAAAAACTCCCTTCCAACTATAACCCAGTAAGGTAGGTGTCACCCACTTCGGTAGAAAGCAAAGGCCAGTAAACGCGGTACGGGTTGACATGACTTCTTATTTTCTACTGTTTCGACACGTCACATTACGACTCTATTGGTCCTCTTTATACTATGTCATTTTACAACTTTGTTGTCGTATGTCATACAGTTATAATTCTACGCAATCCGTATGTTTTAAGTTATAAATGCATTTGCATTAAAAGCAAAGAGGTAGCCATCTTTAAGTAAATTGTCGCCGATATTCCACACATGTGAGAGTAATTATCACGAGCGTGAATTACGATATCTAAGCTGGTAATTATTTTCACTTTCCACTGTAGTTCAACCCAGTTTTTCCGTCTGACTTCCCGACCGATTAATTATTCTAACGTAAATCTATACAAACAAAAACTCAGATGGTTTTGTTCAGCTAGTCACTCTTTCTTTTGGCCCATTTCAATAACTAGATTCACAGTATTCCATTCTGCTCGTGACGTCATATAATATTGTGGCATTTACACAAAGCAAGCAGATATGAATTATATATCGTATATATCATTATTTTAAACTGCTCGTTTATTCGAAATGATCGATGAATCGCGCTTTTAGTATAATGGTATATACAAGTTTCTTTTCGTTTGTTTTCTGTGTTTCATACACTCATCATCCATGATCGGACAAAAATATTCTGCAATCGCGTTCAATTAGATTTTGAACCAATCGTTCGAATTTATGTATGTTTTAGTTGAAAACTAAAAAGGAGTATCTGGTGAATCCCATTATAGCCAGTGCAATGCAAATATTGTTTCCTTATATTTTGAAAGA